CACCCAGAGGGAGGGCTTCCAGGGCATGGGGGCTCCGAGCTTCGTGGGGTTAGCTGAGTTCTCTGCAGCCATTCTTGGGGGGAATTCCTGAGGGCAGAGACCAGACACCCTTGCAGGCGTCTGAGGGTGGGTGGGGAGAGGTGAGTGGGGCCCGGGTCGCCTGCAGGATCTCACCGGCCTGGGAGAGTACGTGTTTAGTGAACTGCTGTTCATACTTCCATGTGGGGGTGGGGGCAGCTGCCTGATGTCACTTCAACATCACTCCCCTTTCTCCCCACCCCACCCCAGTTTTGTTGGCTACGAGGGGCAGGCCCCAGAGGGCCCCGACCCTGGGCAGCTCCTGTGGGGAAGGCTGGGCACTGGGCTCAGACACCCCCGTGAGGACCACTCCCTCTCAGTGCACGAGAAGGAGGCCCCCAGGGGGGACGGAGCGAGGCCATACCCAAAGAACAGGCATGATGCTGTGTGTGCAAGGAGAGGAGTGCTGATGGGTAACCGTCCTCACCCCTCCTGCCGGACCTTTCCGGGGGTGCTGCTGGGAGCCCCCCAAGGAGAGTCTCAGGCCACCCGTGCTGGAGCCCTCCCTGCCCCCCAGTGCTGAAGAGCGGCCCATGGTCATCGGCAGAGGGCGAGCAGGTCGGGACCCAGAAGGTCACACCTGCTCCCGCTGACCGGCTGGGCGCTTATTCCCCACAGGAGGCGGGGCCGGCTTCCCTGGTGGGAATGCTCCGTGGCCACAGAGCGGCCTCGCCTCGCAGGGACCCCACGCTTGCTTCAGCCTCTGCCATCCCCGTGTGGACTGTCTTACGGAGTTTTGGACAAGGAATCCCATATGTCATGTCGCTGGTCCTGTGGGGGTGGGTTGGCTCCTCCTCCCCCAGCCCGGCTCTGGGTCCCTGCTCCTCGTCCTCGTTCTCCTCTCCCCGCTGCATCCTTCTTGTCTGTTTTATGGAAGACGAAGGCCAGACTCTGAGGCGATCCCAGTCGGCCCTCTCATCTGTTGGAGGCAGTGCCCCCTGCAGCATGAGTGGGACATGGTGGGGGAGCAACGAGAGGATGGCGTTTTCCCGGAAGCCACGAGCCTCACAGGGAGGTTTGGAATCCAGTTTAGAAAAACACACAGCATCAGATGCTAGCCAGGCTGCCTCTCTTGTGCTCGGCCTGGGCCCTGTGGCCCCACTGGCCAGGGGACCATTTCCGCCCCGGGCCCTTCTGGGGCCACGGCAGCCTGTCCGCTCGGAGGCGCCCATGTAGGCGCCGGCCTCTATCAGGTTCGCATCTGCTGTGAGGCCAGACATCTCGGTTCCTGCGGGCCGGTGATGTAGGGCGGGCAAAGTCTGAGCTGCCGGGACGGGCGGGTGGGCTGTGGTGGGGAAGGCTTGTCTGGGCTGGGCCAGGCTCAGGCACGAAGAGGGTAGGGGTCTGTTTTCAGGTCTTTTTTCTCCCCCTACACATCTCTCCACGTGCTCTGACTATTTCCACTCCTGTGCAGTCAGGTGCCAGGGGATGGAACCTCCTGGAACAATTTCCAAGCATCAGGCATCTCCAGGCCGCTCACCTCCCCCGTCCTGCTGGTTTTGGGACCTTTCCTTCTGAATCGCCCCATGCAGCCGGAGTATAGAGTGAAACCCTATACTCCTGCACGTGGGAAACAGAGCAAAACCCAGATAGTGCTGGTTGAACCCCGGGGGCTTGTCAGCGAGGGATTTGTGTCGTGGGGTCTCATCACACTCTGTAAACCTGCACCGCTACCTGGAAAACCTCGCTGCAGGAGGCTCTCCCACGCAGCACAGAGTGGAGGTGAAAGTGCCCCGTGGCTCCGCACCTGCTTGGCAGGCAGGCCGTTCCATGGTTCTTTCCTTTCCCTTGAAGTGCTCCCAACAACATCCCAAGTGCCGCACTCCAGCCAAGGTCAGATCTGACTGGTGCAGAGCCTGGCGTTATCTGGTAGCTAGGCTGCAAGTGGCAGGGCCCAGCCCCCACATGGGACATACCTGGGGTTTGGGTGGCCAGCCACGGTGCGTCTGCCGAAGGCTCTGGACTCTTCTGCTAAAGGAGCGCTCCGAAGACTCCCCCTAAGCAGAGCGGCTGCCAGCCTCCCGTCCTGACTGCCCAGGGGACCCGCCTTGAAGAAACCTCCCTGGGGTGGGGGGGCTGATTCTCTGCCATCCCCCCCACATTCCCACGTGCCTCCGCTGCTGTGGGCTGGTGAGCGGTGGCCCTGCACCCTCCTTTCCTGGGCCCGACCATGATCTGGACATGCTTACTCCTGTTAGTGTTGATGGCCACATTCGGCACCACTTCGGTGCCCCCAGGCATGCAAACCCACAGACAAGAATGTTCCACCGTCCTTGACCGCCCGGGACAGCCTTGCTTTGGGAGGACTCTCGTGGCCTTGGCCCTTTTCATGTGAAAGGCATGCTTCCTCGTGTTGGGAAGGGAAGCTGAGCAGAAAAGCTCAGCTTGAACTGTCGGGGACCCACCCCAAGCACCCCTCTCCTTTCCAGCTCCGACACTCCCACACACACCCCATCCTCGTGGAGTGGCTTTTGCTCCTGCTATCAGGGGAACCCATGTGCTGGTCCCATCTTACAGGTAAGGGGGGTCCACGAGGAAGGTCATGAGCTCATCCAAGGGCGGTCAGCAAGGAGGGGACGGAGCCAGGTCCACCTGCCTCCCCTCATCGTCACACTGCCCTGCTCCAAGCTTCCCGGCCCAGCCTCCAGAGGTGGCCTCGCCTGCTCACCCTCAGCCCCTGCTGGACCCAGCTGTTCAGGACCCAGGCCGAGGCTCCGTCCCAGAGGCCTGCAACAGTCTTCTCCCCCAAGTCTGTCGGCACCCTGCCTTTGTCCGGCACAGCCTCCACGAAGACCTTCCTTCCCAGCACACACCCATCTTGGCACACTCCTCCCTGGCCGTAGGACCTGTCCTCCCTGGGTCATGTGTCACCACTGCATCTACAGATACATTGTGCAGCCGGGTGATGCTGGCCCTGAGGGTCCAACTGTTCAAGAGCCTGGTGGACCAGCTGTCCCTCCCTCACTGAGCAGAGGAGGAAACTGAGGCCCCAGAGGAGCATGAAGCGGGGGTGCAGGGTGGGTTTAGTCGTTCCCTGGTGGGCCGGTGGCACGGGGTGGGGTCCAGGCTGGACTGGGGACACGTGCCGTCCTGCTTCTACGCTGCACCTGTGGCACCTTCATCCCCTGTGAGCTGTGCTGGGTGGTGGCTGGCTGTGCGCTCTGCCTCCGCACTGACCTTGACGTCTTCCCCGCGGGGCCGTCGGACCACCGCCGGCTCCTCTCCTATAATGAGGTTTTTCCGCTGTTGGCCCCCCCCCCACGCCCTGCGCTGTTTGTGCGGCCTTCTGGGTGCTGAGATAAGTCACCCCTCGGCCTTCCTTAGGCTTCTTTGGTGATCTCCGTCAGAATGATCTAGAAAAACAACCTTGCCAGTAGAGGCTCGGCCCTTTTGTCACATGGCCTGGCGTAAGAACAGACTAGGTCTTGGTGGCAGGGTGAGCGTTTCTGGCACAGTGAGAAAGACTGCCAGGTTCAGTAGGGAGGAATTCCTCTCCTTAAACAGATTTTCACTTGAAAGCCTGATGACAGAAGCAGCTGAGTCTCAGCGAAGAGAACGAAAACCCAGGGCGACTGATTTAACCTTGAATCCACCTTGGGCGCCAGCAGCCTCTGCAAGGATGCGGCCTGTGTCCTTGGGGAACACGGCCGTGGGCAGGGAACAAGGAGCTGCTGCGTCTACAGGCCCCCCCAGTGGAGGCGGGACCCCTCCTCCCCGCCCCCTGCCCCTGTGCAGAGGGGCTAGCTTCTCCTTCCCCCAGCGCGGAGCCCCGGAGCCCTGTGGGTTCGCGCTGTGGTTTTGCTGGCCAGGGACCCGCTTGCTGCTCAGGGCGGGCTCCCACCCACCTCCAGGGACGCCTGTGTTGGGGGCACGTGGTCTTCCCCGCTCTGTCTCTGATTCTGTCCTAAAGTTAACGTGGGGATGTGTGTTTCTGGAGAAACATGTACTGCTGGGGGAGAAGAGGATTTTTGTAAGGTAGTCGTATGGGATGGAGGTTTGCGTGCCAGCTTCATTCATCACTGACTTCTGAGGGTCACGTTCTACCCGTGGACGGGACAGTGACGGCCCTGCATGCTTCTTGCAGAGCCAAAGTAAGGTGCTAAGTCAATGTCAGTTCTTTCTGCGCAAGGAGCCCCTCCTGCGCACCTGCACCTGCACACACGCACACGTATGCACACACACACACGTGTGCATGCGCTCACAGGTCTTACTTGAGAAACTCCCTAAGGAGAAGTACATTGAAGAGGAGGGAGCTGCAGGCCCGCTCACCCCGAGTGCACCCCAGCTGTGGGGTGGAGGGTGCTCGCCCCGGGAACTCCCTGCAAAGTCTCTCTTCAAGCCCCTTGCAGGCAAGAAATACCTCTGCCACCACACCCACGGGTACAGCGTGAGGGGACACCGGCCCTCTCTCATCTGCCTCTGAGGGGCCAGTGCTGTTGGGACGCCGGGGTCATTTCCCAGAACCCTTGAGGGTCCCGCTGTGCTAGGAGCCTGGTGGACCAGCTGTCCCTCCCTCACTGGGCAGAGGAGGAAACTGAGGCCCCAGAGGGGCATGTAGCAGGGATGCAGGGTGGGTTTAGTCGTTCCCTGGTGGGGCGGTGGCATGGGGTGGGGTCCGCACTGGACTGGAGACACGTGCCCTCCCGCTTCCACGCTGCACCTGTCACACCCTCGCCCTGAAGGTCCCCTTGCATCTGGGCGCTCTGCTCAGCAACAGGTTTTGCCGAGCTCCCTCTGACGGTACGTCCGCCATGTAGATGACAGAGGGTGAGGACCTCGGAGCCGCCAAGGGCCCCTGCCCCATGGGCGTGGCGCTTCTCATCCTGGGGCCGCCGGCACGGAGTTACCTTGCTTTGAATTTATCCTAACGGGAAAGTACTCATTCTCTTTCTAATGGAGAGTTTTTTGTTTCTTGTTTCTAGAGCAAATCATGGAGGAAAATAAAAAACATGGTTCACTGGTCTCCCTTTGTCATGTCCTTCAAGAAGAAGTACCCCTGGATCCAGCTGGCAGGACATGCAGGTACTGAACCCCACCCCCAACCTTCCCGCCGGACCACTGGCTCCCTCGGGAGGCACCCAGCATGCGGGCAGGGCGGGCCTGGCCCTGGATGCTCCTGGGGATGGGAGCATCTGGAACAGCTTCTCTGAGACCCCGGGGTCTGCAGTCTCAGCCAGACATGCCTATGTGGCCTCAGCATTGCCCTGAGCACAGCTGCCCCCTCTAGGGCCCGTGCCACCCCTTCCTCAAACACACACACGCGCCCCCCCCCCGTCTCTGTCACATTCGATCTTTCTCTTCCCCTCTGCCTCTCTTCCGCTGAGCCCAATAAAAGTTGTGCCGTCATCAGTCCTGCCACTAGCCCACCATGGGTCAGCTGGGACAAAGGGGCCACGCCCAGCACTTCACTGAGCGCCCACTCTATCCCCGCATCACCATGGTCTTGGGGGTCACCACATTCTTGGAAACGTGGTCTCTGTCCCAAAGGAGCCTGTAGGTGGGGGGGGGGAGAGGCAGGCAGGTTACCCCACAAGCCAAGGAAGGTCCTAGGTGCAGGTGGCCAGGGTGCCCACCAGCCACAGGGGTGGAGGGACGTGTCACGCCAGAGCCCGAGAGCCGGCCAGTCCACATGTGGGGGCCCTTTGGTGAGCATCGTTCTCTGCGGAGGTTTCGGTGGCTGCCCCAGACTTGACCTTCATGACCGCAGACCAGCACGGGGTCTGACATTTCCTCTGTATCTCCGAAACCTGGGCCCAGCCCGAGGCGCCTGGACGGACACCTTCCTAAATAGATATTTTCCTGGAGGTGTGACTAGAGCAGTGCTCGGGTGAGCTATGCCTCAGACCCCCACTTCTCAGCCAGTGTCCCTGTCCTGAAACTGAAGCCGGCCCTACCAGGACTCCTGTCCGGAGACTGGAGGCACCTTCAACACCTGAGAAGCAGGACGGACGATGGGCTGGGGGTGGTAATGGTAATACCAGTAGGACAGCACAGGCCCTCCAGCCGTGAGCACTGGAGGCCTTCTCCCTTCAGACAAGGAGCCTGTGGTCGGGGAAGCCGGGGAACCAGCCTGTGAGCGTGCCTGGACACCGGGACCTGCATCCACTCCCCCTAAAGTGCTTGGTCCACAAGCGGGGACCTGGGGGGCACCCCCCGGGAGACTTCCCGGGGGGGCTGTGGAGTGGGGGGGGGGTCAGCGCAGGGCGGGCCCCGGAGAGGGACCAAAGGCCGCCTCCCACCTTGCCCCCCAGGGAGCTTCAAGGCGGCAGCCAACGGCAGGATCCTGAAGAAGCACTGTGAGTCTGAGCAGCGCTGCCTGGACCGGCTGATGGCCGACGTGCTGAAGCCCTTTGTACCCGCCTACCACGGGGACGTGGTGAAGGACGGGGAGCGCTACAACCAGATGGACGACCTGCTGGCCGCCTTTGACTCTCCCTGCGTGATGGACTGCAAGATGGGCGTTAGGTGAGCCAGGCCCCACAGAGGCCGCCCCGAAGTCCAGTGTGTACGGGGGAGGCTTGGGGGTCCAGGGGGACGACTGGGACCCCCTCCCACCCCGGTCCTGTCACATGACGTGCAGAGGGGACGGGACCCTGCTTTGCCCCTGACAGCCTCCTCCCCTCTCTGGAGCCAATACCTGTGGGGCCGGAAACAGGGCCTGGGTCCGTGCTGAGCCTCCCTGGGGAGGGCACAGAGAACTGCCTTTCTGGGCAGGGGGGATTGCTTGGAGTAGCAAGGGGGTGGCTGCACAGGGAGGCAGGGGTAGAGGCCCTTCTCAGTGCCCCCTGTGCCCCCACCCATGGGAAGGGAAAGCCCATTAGTGGAACGTGCTGGTTTGCCAACAGAGACTTGCGTCTGCCCTTTGAGGGGAGGGAGAGCCCAGGAGCTGCTCCCTTGGAGGACATGGGGTGCTCCGGGGCCCCGAGTAAGGCGTAGAGGCCACAAGGGGCTGCGTGGGCCTGTGCTTGGAATCGGGTCCAACCCCTGGTGTCTGCCCAGGGAGAGAAGCCAGGAGAGGACTGGGGAGGGAAGGAGAAGGAAGAGCGGCGAGGAGGAGACAGGGTGGTGCTCCGGGCCGAGAGGAGCCGAAACCCCGCCGCCTGCACCACCCTGGGCCCTGTCTTGGCTGCGTGGTGTTCTCATCCCTCTCAAACTTGGACCATTCGGTCCCAGGGGTCCCCGAGCAGCTCCTTCTCTCCTGCAGGCAGGGCTGTGGCCACATGGTGTCCGGGAGCCACGCTCACCTCGGGGAGCCACCGGCTGCAGGGGCCCAGCCTGGACAGGCAGACGCCGGGCTCCTCCGTCCCACCCGCGGCTCGCCGGGAAGACCGGGCCCTGGGAAGCAGCTCCGAGCTGGGGCCTGTATTTGCTTTGGGTGGTGTAAGCAGATTTCTTTCTTAAGAGAGGAGAATGAGAGAGAAGGGTGTGTCTGTGTGTCTATGTGTGTGTGACAGAGATGGAGGCTGGGGGAGAAGGCCGGTTTCCCTTCCCTCACCCCTCCTGGGATTGTCATTAAGTCAGGCCCGTGGGCTGCATCCCCTCTGTGTTGTCCCCAGGAAGGGACCAAGGGATGGGGAGGTACGGTCCCACTCGGCTATTGTGTGTCCCTGACCCCCTCCCTCCCTCTGTCCAAGGCCCTCACCACTCCAGCCCACCGAGAGGAAACAATGTCCTTCCAGCCACCACTTTGCCACTGCTCTTCCCCAGAGTTTTATTTCTGTCCCTGGAAGGCCCTCCCAGGGTATACCAGGATGGGCCCTCTCAAGGGAAGACACATAAATATTCTGATGAGTGTTCACTCTGACCATGGCCAAAAAAAGTACAGCCTGAGGGAAGAACATGTGGCTAGTGGGTCCTGCTGCCCCGTGTGCCTGTCTGTTCCCCGGGAAGCTGCTGGGGGCAGGCGCCCCCTCCACCTGAGGCTGGGTCCTGCAGCTCTGTCCCCCCGGTGCTCTCGGGAGAGACCCAGAGTGACCCTCGAGGCTGGAACAGTTTTAGCCCAGGTGTGGGCCGGGCCCGGAGTCCGCGTGGAGGGGAGGGGTGGGTCTCCCCAGAAGGGGTCTCGCGCCAGCTTCTCTCTGCTTCACCATGCCAGGGATGGGCTCCCCTGCATTCCTGCCACCCCAAGGCAGAGGTCACGGCCCAGTCCGAGTAGGGGTCACAGATGCCACAGGGGAGGGACCCAGCAGGGCTGTGCTGGGCTGACAGGCCAGCCAGCCTTGTCTGGACCAGGCCCTGCAGACCAGGCCCCAAGGGGGCTCCTTGGGGTCCTGTGCCCCTGCGGGGACTGCACTGCCTCCCCAGCTCCGTCCATCCAGAATGCTTGACCTCACAACCTCCCCTAAGACCAGCAAAGACCAGCAGTCGGTGGCCATGCCTGGAGTGTGGCCTGTGCTTGCCAGAAGGGGGAGGCCCGAGTCCAGGGCATGAGGGGTGGAGACTTGTCGCAGGGAAGAAGAGGGCAGGCTGATCAGCAAATCTAGCGTCGGCCCGGGTGGCACGGGCACCGGTAGTGTCCTAAGCCAGGGGCCTCGTGGGACCGGGGTGCTGCTCGGACACAGGCTCACGTGGCCCTGGGGAGTTTTCTTAGATGTGACCCTGTGGTACTTGGAGGTGTCGCGTTCCTCCAGGGCCGGCGTCGGGGAGCTCGGGCCCCACTGTCCGGCTGCTGACCGTTTCCTCTGCCAGAGGGTGGGCTACTCCCCCCGGAGGGATCGCAGGCCAGCTTTGGAGAAAGCCCCGGTCAGAAGGGACTGGAAGCTGAGGCCCGTTTCCTGTTTAAAGAGCTACTAAAAGCTCTTTGCAGAAGTCGAGCCACCCACCGACCCCGCAGGCCCCCACAGCGCCCTCCGGAGCACTGGGGAGGGCCAGGCCGCCCCTGCCACGCAGAACGCACGCACAGGCCCGCCGGACGCGCCTCCACGTGTCACCGCCCCTCCCCCATCGCCGACCGGGCTCTGCAGGCCCAGCGGTGTGGGGGCGTGTGCGTGCGCGCGTGCGTGGGGGGTGTGCGCGTGCGTGCGAGGGAGAGCTGTGTGCGCGTGCGTGCAGGGGGCTGCGCACGAGTACAACGGAAGGCTCTGAGTGACCAGGCCGGTGTTCACACCCGAGGATTTGGTGTTTTCTTACGTTTGATACAATGGTTTCTGAAAACTTGTCTTTGGAAGAGCTCAGGAGTTGACGTGCAGTCAGTTCTGGGTCCCAGCGCAGCAGCTTGGAGCTGGTGTGATGGGCAGTGGCAAGCGAGGCCCCGGGACGACCCCGGGGGCGGGCCGCCGTCACAGCTGCCCACCGTGTGGGCAGCTCCCACCCACGAGGGGCCCACGCCGAGAACTTTCCTCCGTTGCAGCTCAGCGCTGTGATTGCTGTTTCAGGAAGGCTTGCAGGCAGCCATGGAGCCGGGGGCAGGGGAGCGGGGGTTTGATTGGGGAGCAGGGGGGCGTTTGCGTTCGCCTGTGTGTGCAGCAGGGGTGGGTTCCCCACCTCAGTCTGGCGATGGGAGCAAGGGAGTCAGCCGGTCTGCCCCTGCTCCCGTTACCCCGCCAGTTTCCGGGGGACCCCAGCTGGCTCGTGTGGAGGGCAGGCAGTGAGCAAGCGTTGGCCACGCTTTCTCAGGCCCTTCGGGCTGGAGGCTCCGCTGTGAGGAGGCACGGGCTGGGCGAGGCAGGCTGAGCCGGCCCATGGGCAATACAACAGTGGCCGTGGGACACCCAGGCTCCCTCTCCCAGTCATGGGTTTCCCCCTCCCCCACTGTGGCCTCTTCAGAGGCCACTTTCTGGTCCTGGCCTTTGTACTCAAGATGTCCCCTCCTGAGAGAGCCTCTTCCTGGAAGGCGGAGACTCCTGGGCTCTGCCAGGCCTCCTCAGTGATGCTGGTGTGGGGTACCCCATCCGCAAGGTGGCCCTGTTCTCTGCAGCCTGAGCGGAGTGTGTGCCCATCCCGGGTGAGCATGCCTTGGCTAAGCTGAGTACAGCCCTCGGGCAAGGCTGGAGCTGTGGTGCAGCCAGTGGTCCTCATCACCCCTGTTCCCACACAGGACCTACCTGGAGGAGGAGCTCACCAAGGCCCGGAAGAAACCCAGCCTCCGCAAGGACATGTACCAGAAGATGATTGAGGTAGACCCTGACGCCCCAACCGAGGAGGAGAAGGCCCAGCGGGCTGTGACCAAGCCTCGGTACATGCAGTGGAGGGAGACCATCAGCTCCACCGCCACCCTCGGGTTCAGGATCGAGGGCATCAAGGTGGGCCAGGTGCACGGACTGCCAGCTCCCAGCTGAGGAAGGGATGGAGGCTCTGACATTCACCCATGGGGTCATGGATGCGCAGACCCTGGTCCTGGCAGTGTTGTTGGGTTTCTATCCTCGACCCACTCTGGGCCCCACCGCCCAGCCCTTGCATCGGGGTTGGACGGCTGGGAGCCCCCAGCTTGCCAGTGGGCTGAAGGCAGGGCACCCCTGCAGAGAGTCCCCTGGGCACCGCTGCTTTTCGAGCTCTGGGCTGAGAAGGCCATTCACCTTCCCCTGTCCTCTGAAACCAGCATTTTTTTTTATTTTTCTGTATCCAGCCCTCAGACTGGCTGGAAATTTCATGCTCGTCCCCTTCCCTGTAATGCTCCTTTTCCTCTCCTTATCTGTTTGAAACGATCCCCCATTTCCTTACCTCTCCCTCTCCAGCTGCATGTTCTCGCCTCTGTTCACTGTCTGGCCAGCGTCCTCCCCCAACACTTCACCTGCCTCTCCCCTCCCCTGCTCCAGGAAAGGGTCCCCCCCCCCCGAGATGGGCTGTCCACCTGGCTGTCCCTCCACCCCAGCATCCTGCTTAACCTTTCAGAGGCAAGCGCATTGCGTTAACTAGCCTCCGGCCTGATGGCGCACAGACCCAAGTTTGGTGGCTCCTGATGGAGCCATCTTCACTCACCCTTTGTCCCCAAGAACAGAGCTCCTTCTGGGGGAGCTAAGCTCCATGCGCTTCCCTGGAACAGCCTGGAACAGACATAGTGCCAGATTAAGAAGTTGGAGCAATCTCTTGCACCAGGTGGGCCAGGGAAGAGATAGGCAGGCAATATTATATCTTGGTCTCCAGGAAACCTATGATAAAAGATGTTACGTTACAAAGGGAACCTAGCTGACCTTGGGGTAGGGGGCCCCTCTCTTCTGTCTGGATAGCAGCAGTGTCCCCCGGGCACTCGGGTTCCAAGGCCAGGCCCTGGGGGAAGCCTTCGGCCCCTGCTGCCCACAGCCCCGCTCTTCCGTCCCTGGGCTCCACACCCCCAGGCCTCCCCTGACCTGCGCTGCCACCTGACTAGCCTCCCTGGGATGGGGCACGCACCTGCCTCCTTGTCCTGCACATGGGGACCATGACGCCTCCACGGTCCCCCCCGAGCTGCCTGGCTTCCTTGGGCTGCTGGGTCGGTGAGCACCCCGCCGGTCCCCAGGCCCTCTGCTGACCCCTCCTGGGCGGGTGTTGTTCTCCTTCTCAGAAAGAAGACGGCTCCGTGAACCGAGACTTCAAGAAGACCAAAACGAGGGAGCAGGTCACCGAGGCCTTCAGAGAGTTCACTAAGGGGAACCACAACATCCTGGTGAGTCACCCCCAACCCCCACCAGAAGGGGCCAGCTGCACAGGGACCACCGTTGCACCCCCAGGCTTGCCCAGCCCTAGACCGAGCTGGGCCGCGGTGCCCACGCTGGCCCCAAACTTCCACTGGGCAGGTACAGAGGAAGGTGACTTGGTCGCCAGCCCCATCCGAGGGTAGATGGGGGCACTTGGTGGGCTCACTCTCTGCCTTGGCGTCCCCTCACGGTGCCGAGACGGTTCCCTCCCATGAGAGGATTGCTGTCACTATAGCCTCGCTGCAAATCCCCAGGGAGCCCTCTGGGGCAGGGAGACGTTCTTGTCCGCACTTGACAGGTGAGGAACTGAGGTCCAGGACACAGCTAGGAAAGCACAAACTGGATTTCATGCGCAGGCCACTGCACTAGTAGACAGGCTGGACAGATGGCTCTGACCTCTGCGGTCAGGACCTCGATCCTCCAGGCAGAGGTAGGGTGTGCTGAGTATCCGTACCCCTAGGGAAAGGCACCCTGTGACAGACCCAGACACGCTGGGGACATGGGCCCTGGAGCCCCTGGGGATAGGCTCCTTCTGAGCAGGGGTGGACACGTACAGCCTTTTCTCTGAGCAGACTCCTCGCTGGCTGGATCTCCCTCCCTCCTTTGCAGGCTGGGTAGGCTTCCCTGAGCCCTTGGCAAGGAGGCTTCGGGCATGGGGTGCACCCCCAAGCTCTTCCACGGCCCGAGCCCTCTGTTTTCCGGGTCACCTGCTCCTTCGTGGTGCCCGCCCCAGAGCACGTGGTGCCAAGCCCCGGGCCACGACGTTCTGCAGAAGGGCATTGAGGGACCGTGGCAGCCTGCGTGCACCGGGCTTCCCCATGGTCCCTGGGGACAGCAGACACCCCGGGAGCCCGCACAGCTCTATCCCTGTCCGAGGCCTCTGTGGAGAGGCCGCTGGCCGAGATCTTTGTGGCTTCCCCACTTTCTCTGTCCTTTGGAAGGTCAGGGGCATGGAGGTTTGTATTCTGGAAGACACCATGGCAACCAGGCTGTTTGGAGGCACACTGCTGGTGTTCCAGAATAAACTTCACCCTCGTGTGAGAGCTCGGAGGGGCTGCATGGCTGTGCGGGGGTGGGGGGTGTGGATGAAGCGTGGCCCCAGGAGCCCAGCTGCCCGCCTCGCCTGGTTCTGGAGGTTAAAATAAAACCTCAGGGTGTAAGGTCTCTTGCGCTCTGACACCCAGCGATGCTAGTGGGCCACGTGGGGCTTAAAAGCCACCCCACCCCCAAGTGTTTAAAACTCTGGCCATTTTTAAGCGACTGCCTTTGGCTCAGGTCATGATCCTGGAGTGTCAGGGTCGAGTCCCGCATCGGGCTCCCTGCTCAGCAGGAAGTCTGCTTCTCCTTCTGACCCTCCCCCTTCTCATGTGTGCATGCTCTCGCTCTCTCTCTCTCATTCTTTCTCAAATAAATAAA